TGCTTATTGAAATTTCAATAATTTCTAATACAAATATTAATAATGGGTTTCTTCTAGTGTACCAAGTTTTTTAATATTATTACTTCTTTAATACATCAAAGAAATTACTATGTTAAATAATTTCTTACTGATTTGATCATATTAAAAAAATGCATGATTAATGACATGAATGGCAGAAGATTTTTTCACTTCTTTCTAACATTTTCAAGTTTATATAATCCAGTCATGACCTGTTCATACACCGTAAATATAATCCCACCAGAAAGCTAATTATTTCACATTAAAAAAATCATTAAATAAATAATATTAATTATCATTAACTATTAAATTATATATAATATAACATTACTAACCAATAATCTACCCAATCTAGGTGTCACACCTTTCCAAAATGCAAATACTCCTTCTTCTTTTAATACTTTCCATGCACAATGGAATGAATTTTGGTACAAACTGGTAGCATCTAATCCTTGCATTCTGGTTTTAACAACATCTAATGGCATTGTACTATAAACTGTTATTATACCAGCAATTGCTCCCATTAAGAATGTGACTGACCATGGTAGTGGTTGTCCTGGTGTTGAATATTTTTGGAATCTTTGTTTCAAAGTTGAATACACTGAAAATCTTACCGCTTGATTTGCTCCTTGTCTCATCATTACAGGAAACAATCCTCTATATATTCCCCCAATTCCTTCTTTGGCTACAATCAACGAAACACCTTGTATTTGGAGATTTTTGTAGTTTTATATAAAATATAAATAAATTATTTTTTTAATTTCAATCATAATGGTTAGTTAATTTAATTTTTAATCTACCGTGTACAAGTCCCTTGTATTGTGGAATAGAACGATTTGTATCATGAATTAATTTTGTTCTGAAATCAATCAATCAATAATTAAATAATTGGTTTTTTTCCTCCTATAATTGACAAAGGTATAAATATTTAAATAATTAGCAATACAGCTAGGTGGTTGGTATCTATATATTCTTCAATAAGAAATATTTTATGTAATAAATTTAAAAAATTTAAATTCTTTCTTTTTTAACTAAAATTTTTTTATAATATCTATTTTGAATATTATATTCATCATTATCATCATCATCCTCACATAATGTTACTGTAACTGAATTAATTTCCAATGAATCCATAGAAGGTTTTTTTGTCTTAATGGCAATGTCAACCTGTAAGTCCACCATTTCAACTTGTTAACTCCTCTATTTAAAGCATTGAAAATTTGCCTTGAAAATGAAATGGATGGTAAATATTGACCACTGCTCTCTAACCCTCTATAGTCCATTTCTTTATTCTTGCCATCTCTATCAAACAATGAATAAAGAAGTGCTATACTAATTTTTATCCCTTTTCCAATTGCATTCTTACCACATAAACACATCAACCAATCATCAGCCATACCACAAACAAATGGAAACTCCAATAATCCATTCAACCATATAATTACAATAGTCTAATAGTCATGACCTTGTGGATGAAGTGGTGGTGGTATCATCTCTGATGATTTTATTGATGCTGAAGCTTCTAAAACCATTTTACCAAGAGCCCAACTCACTGCTATATTATTAATGTTATTTATACCTTGGAAAGGTGGTCCACCCGAATCAATTATCTTTAGAACGTCAATTCTCTCATGCAATAACTTACCAGCCATGCTGATTTGAAACATTGCATTTTCAATCTTATCAATTCCGTTGAAGAATTTGTAATTTCACCTTTATGATAAATTTCGACAATGTTTTTCCAATCTTTAGCACAATAGTAAATCCAAATGTGGTTGAATGTTTTGAACTTCATCCAAATCTACGTCCAAATCTGGTTTTTCTGATGATATATTGGCAATATATGGTTTACCATTATCATTAATAAATCCATTCATCAAATAATTTACAGTAATCCAACCATATGTTCCTTCCATTTCACCAGTTATGACTTGAACATGTATGTTCAAGCATGTAAAAAATCATCTTTTTATATTTGATTCCACTATATATCAAAATGCCAAGTACAAATGAAGAGGAAACGCATTGTAAAAAAAAGAAGTATTTTATTCTTTAACAAGATACCTGGTTCTACTTTTAATTACCAATTTAATCCATGCTCATCAGCATGCTGAGCCATAGGTAATACATGAAGATCTTTCTCATTTTTATCCTGCCTAACAATGTTATGTTCTTGCCAAGAATATATTTGAATTCTTGATCCAGAACTTCCTGCATCTACAACAATACTAAGTTTCTATTTAATAGTATAAATTGAGATATGTAAATATATTTCAACATTAAAGTATAGTGCAGGACACCTAGTCCCTACAACTT